AAACCTCAAGTTTTCTGAAAAATATATTCAGCTGTTAAGAAAACGACGTCAATTACGCTGTTTGCGAGTAGCGTTAAAGTTATTCAATCAGTTTTTTACCATTCAGTGGGATATAATTAATCACCTGTGATGCTTTGCGTACATCTACTACGTGATTATTATCTACCGCATACAATAAGATATTTCTGTAAATTGTTGACCCACCTTTTTCTGGAATAATTTAGGCGTTTGTCTTGTGTTTTTATCTTCATAACTTGATCGGTTAAACCATCAGCTGTTTTGTTAGAGTTGCACTCTGTCATACATATTTTTCATTGGTGCGGCTTATAGATTAGAACCTAATGTTGTAAATTGCAGACTTCAAGCAGAATAATAATCGAAATCACAGTAGTAGTGTTTCAGATGATTTTAAATGAAAAAGGAATAAAGTGCACCTTTTAATATCATTTCATTCACGAATGTAGTTGCTTAGTAATTCACTTATCCAGTTGGATACTAAGTGATTGACTGATTAGTTTGAATTATGGTTTTTGAGTCTTAGTGATTTCAACGGTCACTTGAAAGTGTACTATCAACCCATTCAATTCTGAGATTAAAATACGTTCAGACAAATAAGGATTTGGATTCTACCATTTTTTTTTCGATTTTTTAACCCTATTTGCAGGCGAAACTAAGATAATTAAGCCGAGTATGTTATAGAGCTACTCCCCGCTCATTTTCATACTTGACCTTAGCGGAAATGCGTTCTCGTCGCAGTCGTGCGATAAATTAGCTGTTTGGTCAGTTCCAACGATCACATTTGTTCCTGCTAACGTTGCACAGAAAACAAGCTCTTGATTGTTTCACCGTCGTGGCTAGAAATTACTCTCATAATTACGATTGTATTGATCACCGACTGACATCATCTGGGGGAACCATTCCAAACCCGGAATGTCAGCCCGTAGTGAATAAAACCTTGAGGATAAAATCCTCATAAACCTCAAACTATATGTCGTAATTGTTGATTAAGTTGAGATGCTAATGATTAAAGATTCTCTCTCAGTGTGTTGATCACTTTTTGAATGAGAATCGACTTAGCTATGAGCAGTAACTACTCATGAGGTTTCAGTTTCACTTTGATCGCCTAAAACTATTCAATTGCCATGTAAATAATGAATGACTTGTTACCACTGGTTCTGCATCACACTAGCTGCACTGTCAGTTCTCAAATAAATCGTTATATAGCGTGATGTTCAGTTGTATTTTAGTCTATCGCTTGCCTATGTATTCTCGGACTTTCTGTGCTTCTTTTATGTGGGTTTATCGCCTGTTGAAGTAAACTTCACCTAATACTAACAATGTAAGTCGGTCTGCTGTACATCATTTGGAAGTTAATGTTACTATTTTTTCTGAAAACAATGAAGCTTGAAGCAATTGATGATGACATCGTTTCCAGAAGATGAGCACTCATGCAGAACCTTCACTGTCTTCGCCCTCTCAATTGTTGCTACCGTTTTTAAAAACTTTACTATTGATTACTAATACTGTTTCCGCGGGTGTACACTCTGTTTCACAATTTAGGTTTATGAATTTGTTTTGATCATTAGGATTTCATTAATGCCACAGCTTCATTTTTCTGTTTGTGATCCAATGTTCTTATTGTGCTTGAGTTCATCACTACTTACTGTGTAGCACTGATTCTTGTTCATTATCTTTTCTGCAAAATGTTAATCATCATATGATGTTTATTGCTTTTCTGGTCATATCACATGAGCAGTGTTTTTTTAAGCATGATTGATATATAGATTTTAGTTAGCATCCACTTCACTTCCGATTTTTAAGTTTTGTTTATATGGTAGATTGTAACACTTTAAAGTACATTTATTCTAATCATTATTGGTTATTATTTACGTCATTTTTGATTGTGCGATTCGGTCGCTGTATAGTAAAAAGATAGATGTAGCCGTCACGTTCTAAATGATGAATGGAGTATATTGATTACGTTTACAGTGGTACCACAAGGCTGAGTAACACAAAACTGAGGTATATTGTGCTGATTGCTAAGTATTTGAAGTCAATTCACACGTAGCCCTGTTTTTAGACCTTGTGCTTCTTAGCTTACACTAGAAAGGTGTATCTGAGTATATTTGTTAACGGATTTGTTTTCAAAAGCCGTTTGTTTTCTATCTAATTTTTAGACTTTGACCACTTTCATATGATACCGCTTCGCCAGATCAACTATCCTTTTAGTTAATGATTGTATATGAAATGTATATACTCTCCCTTTAGGAGGTGTAGCTCATTGGCTTCAACACTAAACTTTCAAGTGATGGATCCTTAATGCAAATCCGTCTTTATAAATTCTAACCTGGGCGACCAGTTATTAACATTAAGTGTGGCCCCATAGCCTAATGAATAAATCTCTAGGGGATTCGATACCTTCACTTTTTATTTACAAACGATCGCTTCACTGCTTGGCGGTAGCTGTTATAACAATGAATCGTTTCCAAGTTGGTATTCATCATGGACTGACATCAGTTGGAGGGACTGATGATAATGAATACCAACTTGCAATCAATAAATCCCCATAAGGACCCCAAATAGATTGAATTGTCTCTAAGGTTCCCATAGATTATTCAGGACGAAAATAATTTGAGCGAACAATTATTTTCAATAACTTCCTCTTCAGGCTCTACAGTTATATACATCCAAGAGAAGAGATGAAATACAGTAGTCAAAGTAAGGCATGACGTTAAATTATTTTGAATTGAAGCACTCAGCGTTATGGGTGAATGGAGATCAAACGAAATGGATTAAAGTTTTTATTTGGCGGATAGTAACCAGTCTAGTGAGTTAGTTGTGCAATCCAATTAATATAAACAGAACGATCACGATATAAGGAGGCAAATTCTATATATTATGATTCATATATATATATATATATATATATATATATATATATATATATATATATATATATGAAGGTGTATATGTTTGTTTTCTATGATTCAAATAACCACTATGTCGTGATGAGCTATATTCAAGTAGGGTGAAGTGTTACGTAAGGGCTGAAAATGATTACTGGTAGTATTATGATTAAACAAGCGCATAAAACTAATAACATAAGAAAATAAATGTGAGAGACAAAATACAGAATAGAATGAGTGGTTTAAATGTGGAATTTGGGGTAGAAAAGTTCATAAAGAATGTGTTGACCCTATTTTGAGTCAAAGTAGACAAAATGAATATACATATTTCTTCTTAACACGTTGATCAGGTTTTCTTGCGTCGATGCCTGTGATTTCGGCTATGAATAAGATGCGTAGTCGTGCTCCTTTGGAGAAATTGCAGGGGATACAATTATTATTATTTGTCCCTTTGGTTCCTAGTGGAACATAGGGCTTCAGTAGTACGCCTCCAGTGCACTCCCTTCACTCCAGTCTTTTCAACCTGGCTCCACGACAGCCCACAAGCTCTCATTTCTTCCTCACACCATCTCCTCCATGTCACCCTCAGATGAGACGCCCAACTCGTCGTTTCCCCTTTGGATTCCACTCGACGGCCTGACGTGTGATATCCCCAATCGGCCTTCTCAGTGTGTCCCCAATGCAATCCATCTCCACTTTCTTGTGCGATGGGTTGTTGGTTGGTTGGTTGGCTGCCCAGCCAGAGTTCCTTATTGCTCATTCTTATTATTCTGGGCATCTAATTTTCAGTATGGAGTGAGGGAAGGGGGCAGCTGTTGATGTGATGTGTATGTCTGCAGTTAGTTTGAAATGCTTTTCGTGACGCGCCAAGTTTCTGAACCATCACATGGAAGCACTGACTTGACGTTGGTGTTGGAAATCCGAATCTTGTTCACGCTTTATGCTGAGTGGAGTGGAGTGGAGTGGAGTAGAGTGCAGTAGATCTCCACACTGATTATTTCAGGTTAGTGAAGACCTGTCTTGCTGTCTTTCGGATCGTGGCTTTGACGTGTTCTTCTGTGCCTGTGCTGCCTGTAGTTGAAACGATGCCGCCTAGGTAGGTGCACTATGTCATTCCTTTACCTAAGCAAGCTGGTGGATGTTAACGAGCCCGCATGGATAAAGTACAGCCTGTGTAACTAGCTCCTTAGGAGCAGTTGGACTCATAAATGCACACTGACATTGTCCATCATTGGTTCGCTGTCAGTAATGTTTCAGTTTATAAGCCACATTATGAGCCCAATCTGTTGTGTAGGGGTTGTCTATATTCTCTGGTTACTCCTGTAGAGTAGGGTTTAGGTACATGACCTATCCTTTGAAATTCCAAAGAAACTGAATAAAATATCTACTCTGCTTGTAAGATCAAAATGGAATAGCTGTCTTTTAGGATTTTATCGCAAAACTCAAACAGTTGTTCCCTTCAATTCTGTTGGCATAGTAGCTGTACTCATTACAGATACATCTAACACGAGTAATTCGATTGGTGTTTAGTAGGGATTAGTTGATTTCAAAATAGTTTGCATCACACATTGACATGAGTGGGGGAAACCATAGAAAACTTGGTATCGGTGTGTATCTAATGCATTCCAATTTGGTGTTCCTCAGCATCGTGCACCCACTATTCCATAAAGAGAATTAGCCCAGAATTGTTAGATCTTTCAGCAAACGTGTTGTCGTTCAGCTGTTTGGTTTAGAATTCAATACTCCACTTTTTCCACTCCTTGAAATAGCTCGACCATAAGTGGTTATTTGTTGTTACATGCTAAGGATTAATTATGCATATTCGTGTTCACAAGTAAATATTATGTAAATTTCAGTGACCACCAAAATCTGTTTTGTGATATCAACACCCCTATTCTACGTTTACGATAAGTATATCACTGTTAGACGCAAACTAGTATGACAGTATTTTTAGATGGTGTAAGTTTTAATCTGAAAACACTCAGTATCAACCATTGGTTTGATTTTAAGCATAGTATTTTGTTTCAGTCTTCAGAGGTTTTTGACGCTACCTAATCTAATAAAGAAACCATTGTTTAATTTTCACCGTAACAGATCATTTAACTGATATTTACGACGTAACAGTAGCATATCCAGATATCCTGCCATCACCTGAGATTAATCTACTATACGGACATGTTCCGCGTGAGGTTCATTATTATGTTCGTCGCTTTCCTGTGAAGGAACTATTACATGAACATGAAAGTCGTAAACTGGACGATGATACCAATAACGCTCTATCGAAATGGTTGCAGGATCGTTGGTTTGAAAAAGAAAATCTTCTCAAAGCATATTATGGTTTGTTTATACAAATAATATTTTATGTAGATGATTTAGTAAATTTCTTTGCAAACATCATTAAAAAACTAAAAATAATCAAGTCATCGGACTGGTAAGCAGGTGATGATCGAATTCTGTGGATCATGAAGGAAAATGTAATTACTTAACTAAGATGAAAGTTGTATTTTGTACTTAAATGTGAGCTGTGAACTGATGCCAACTACTGTTTTGCACTTATCAAGAATTGTAAACGAGATGTTTAGCTAGTCTTTCAAAACCCCATGGATAATCTTACAACCAACCAGATGCCGTTATTATCGAATTACTCTGCCCTTTCATCTCATCACTAGACTATATCAGGCTAGCGACGTGGGACTTGGCACAGTAGTTCTTCAGTTCAGTTCACTATCCTTCATAACTCAGTTGATGAAACAAAAGTGAAATAAGTTGAAATTAAGAAGGAGGGTATAAGAATAGGTGTAGAAAATACTTAAGGAGTAATTACTTAGCTGTAATTTTCAAGATAACAGACAGTAAATCATCCTTATCATCACAATTCGGTTTTGGTTTGTATTGCTTGTTCTAGTGGCTTTAGTAGGTCTTTTCACGAATTGCACTGCTATGCAGTAAACTCTCTTTTGTAGACTGACATTAAGTATTTAATCAGTTGATGCCAAATTAGCCAGCAGAATATGGACATCTTATCTGTTTCATAGACACTCGATTTAAGTTTTCATCTTGTTCCGATCCCAAAAAGACTATATACTACTGGATTTTCCTCCGAATGCCAGTCCGTAGGGATTTTTAAACTATTACATTAGAACGGGAGATTTTTTTGTTCTTACTTCTATGTATTCATCATTTCAAGTGTATTTAAATTCCTAACGAAACTGTATTTCATTCCTAATGTCGGTTCAAATGACTGTCGAAAGTGCACAGTCTGCATCTACTCACTGAACGCTTAAAAAGTTACCTAATGATAATGGCTTAGATGATTCACATAGAAACCATTTTAAGACTGCTCAGATCTAATACATTATTTTAAAAAGTCACATATCGAGTTGATTCAGAAATTAAATATATGTAGAAAAGGATATAACTGTCCAATCGTTCCATATCATGAAGTCAGCAGGTTAAATGGAACAGGAATATAAGGCAGCTTTTTCTAGATTGCCCGTGGTTTTTAATCAATATCAACCCAACATATCCTTTGATGTTATAACTTGTACATCTCCGTTGTTGATCGGACCAAATTAACCGGCCACTATTGGCATATAGACTGCTGTGCGGATGCCTTGGTATTGCCGTTATTTCCAAATTCAATATTAATGATGGATAGTGACTTGTTATGGAATCGAAGTATCTGCACCAAACCGCATATATCCCAAGGTGGCTGATCAATTCGGTAAAATCAACGACGGAGATGCACAAGTTATAACATTAAAGACCCGTCGTACAATGAGCAGCTATCGTGACTCGGTGGCTCTGGTGTTTGGACCGATTGGTCGTGGGTCCAATTCTTATTGGGAGCAACATCACCTACTTGGGTGCAGGTAAATCCATCCGATGAGCTCTAAATGGGACGAAACACGCGTCCTGGATTCCACTGCTAGACACTATCCATGATTAATAAACGCAGCATTTAAACTATTGGAAAACAGACTTAGCTGCCCCTAATAATTTTGTTCCATAGTTATGCCAATGGTGGTTCTATTCCCCTTACCTTATAGACTTGTGCTCTGTTCACTCCATCATCATTCAAGTGATTAAGCGTGAAAAATTCTAGCCATTTTTTATTTTAGGTTTAGTGCCTTAAGCGCCAACATTCTCGATTTTTTCGGTGTGAGGGTGCTTACTGCCGATGGAGTTTTAAATTAAAATGAAATAATTGTTCTGTCTTCTTTGATATTTATTAGGTTTGCAGCCATTACCAGTTTGTGATAGAAAGTAGGTACAGATCAGAATATATATATATATATATATATATATATATATATATATATATATATTTATGGCGATCATACTGTCAATAATTTCAGTGTACTTCTTTCTCCAAATTGACACGAATTCTAAAATTATTGCATATCTGTTGGTATCTCATCATCTCCTACGCATCTGAAATTTGAAATATCTTTTCCTCAGTAGTCTAAACAAAGTCTGTGGGTCAGCTCAAAATATCATTCAGCTAACGGTAACTTGAAAAACCACCGTTTACAATGACTCTGAATGTATTCAATCTTAATCCTTGTCACATCATCCAGATAATTATTCTTTCTGGGTTGATGTACCTTAGTGCATCGGAAACTCGTAGATTTAGGTAGTGAACTGTAGGTCAATGAATTGAACCCTCAGTCCACCTACTTGCGTTTGTATAACCAGTACGTACTACTGTACAGTGTAAGCCAACCTGGTACAGGTTTATGTATTAGACTATAGACTACACTAGTTGTTTGAGGACTTATGATACTATCTGGTTACCTAAGGCGGTGTAGATGGCACAAGATTTAGAATTTTAGACTCATTGCTTGAAAGTCGAGTGCTGAAGTCAATGAGTCACATCTTCCGCATACCACTTACAAACTGATCGACTAGTCTTCACGTGATCACTGGTTTGCATACAAATTGCTTTTCGATACCGTGTAAGTTTCCTACAGTCGGTTAATATTATCTAATGTCTTGTCGTCAGTATATCTGACTGTCTTGTGTCTGAATTCAATTCTTGCTAAATTCGCATCAATGTCATCTGCGATAATTGCTTTAAGGCGTTTAAGAAGCTTCAAGTCTGGTAGTTGGGTGTGTTGCTTATATTATTTTACTTTCATAACCTTGTGTCTTCCTTACCGTGGGATGGGAATCGATGTTCAATTGACTATCACTAGCCTCCTAATAATATTTAAATAGGAACCTTAACAAAATATATTTGTACTGGATGATAACTGAAGGTGAAATGAAAATTTGGACCGCAGCCGGATTCGAACCAGCGACCGCCCGGTGGTTCGAATTGTCAAAATGATCAGCATATATATTTATGTATTGTCATCGTTTCAATCATTTACTAAATTACACGTTCTCATGTTTGTCTTCAATAGCTAAACCAATTGGACAACGTTCATTCGACAATGAAATCTCTCCGGACAGTCTTTTGTTCTGTGTGAATACTTCAGATAATAAACTAACGTTCACGTATTTAGGTATGCTTAACACTGGTTTCTGGTTCCTTGGAATGATTGGATTGGTTCATCTCATCTATAGTTCCCTACCGGTTTTAATTTATTTTATTTCAATCCAACTAGTTTACATTTATTTCACCTATTACGCCGACGGTGTCAATATATGGGCTACGGGTTGGATAAATAACTCTAAAGACAAAGAGGACAACAGTGTTATTACCAGTACCACTACTAACATTAATGATAATGGTTTCGCTCATTCTGTGCATTCTGAAGATTTTGACCAGAAGAAGAAAGAAACGTGACACCATGTGGTTGGTGGTATGTATTCAGTATTCTTCGGACATCAACACAACACTATCCGGTCATTAAGAAAACAAATTCATTCAGCGTCATTTAATTGTTTCTCTTGATTGCCTTCATTCATATTTGTTGTCGTAATAAGTTTTTCTATCTATCCATTTCAGTATTTAACCACATACTATTTTGTTTGGTTTCAATACTCTTCAGATTGAAATTTTATGTTGTTTATCATTTTCTTTGATGTTTTTTGATGAAGCCTAGTCAAATAAACTTTGTGTTACGTGTTCTGTCATGTATCACCCTTTCCTCCTCGCACCTAATGTTTTCACCAATAATTTACCCTGTGTTTCATTTATTTTCTTCACCTTTGAATCATTATCGCCTTCAACCTGCCTTTTAGAATCAATTATAATCTAATCATATTCAATAATCAGAAAACTGAAACCGTGTTTTTTTTTCGTAATTTTCTGTTGTTGTTTTTAAACATAAAACTACGTGTATGCCATTTCTGAGTTGTTTTTTCTGCAATATAACTGAAATGAATTTATGTGTAGTTTTGTGTCTGCATAGATTTTAAAGTACTGTAGGTTGTCCATACATTGTTTTTTGGAATCAGTTTTCCCCAATTGTTGATAATCATTGGCATGTAAAGTTGGGGAACAATTTCAGACCATGATATTCATATATTTCATCAGATTATGAATGATTCATTTCCGAATGCACTTTACTCTTGTTTACTAGTAAGTATTAAAAATCGGCTTAGGGTTTTCAGTTACAGTGCATAAAATCCAAGTACGACTTAATTGTCATATGTATTCCGTGGTTCATCAGCATAGACATGCACAATGCTGAACCTGGTGTAACTGAGTCTCGTTTTACGGTGCATACTTAGCTGAAGATTAGCAAAAGGAAAGGAAGCGAAACGAAGATGATAACGCCAGTATCTGGAAAAAGCTTTGGTGGGGAGAAGATTGACTTAACGAAATAGCAATATTTTGCAATACTGATTGGCGATTGCTCCCAGTCAACTTACATCTATCAGTGTGGACCGCGATTCTGAGCCTCCTAGCTTGGTGGCCATAGAATCCGGTCAGGACTTGACAACATGAAATTATTTGCTCTCCCGTGACCAATCTATGAATATACTAAACATTTCTTTAGTGTATAAAGTTGAGTCAGTTGTTATAGCCTGGCTGTTGACGAAGTACTAGCCTGGATTAACATCCGACATCTCTCACTCTAGCACTGGTGAGATATCTGATTTTGAATAGAAGAACGAGCATACCGCTCAGCGGTTCAGTCTGTTTTATGGTATAGCTATAAAACATGGCCGATGAGTAAAATAGACATAAAGAGACTACAAGTTTTTGACTATAAATGTGTTCAAAACATTACTCGAGTGTAATGGAGAGTGAATAGAGTTAACTTCAGTAGATTACTAAACTTGTGTGTTGTGTGAAGGAAGTCGTGTTAGACATAATCTTATCAATCAACTTTGTAAAAGTAAACAGTTATCATGACCCTGAAGTCATTGAGCATTTCAACAATCCTCTTATGCTTCATTATGTATTGTTAAACATCACCATTGTTAATATATGTTTGAAAAAACGTACAGTGAGTAAACTTATGCAGCATGTACAATGTATGTATACAATTATGTACTGAAAATTCTGTACAATAAACAAAATTATGGTTATGGAAAGGGCAGTTGGCTGATTAAGTTGTGAAACTTCACTGACTGAATTTACTAAGTGAATCAAAGTAGGATTGAATTTTAGGAAAGATAAGAGTGACCATATAACAAATTAGCACCAATCTATGGTATTTCTAACTGTTGGTTTGACCCATATGAGATGTGAATAGTCTGACTTAGGTTCTCAAAAAGTTAGAGTTCGATAGTTGGATATGTCGGCCAAGCTTTACATCACAATTACACAACTAGAAATGGTGGCTGGAGAAATTGTCCCCTTAGACCCACTTATAGGAAATACGTCAGTTGAATAACGGCAATACCAAAAGCAGCTCTCTTTATCGTGTAAATGACTTACCTTGTCATGGAAGAGGATTCTGAGAGGGGATTCATTTGCCATGGACATGTGACACACACCAAAACTAGTCATCAGTAACCGGAGTCGGATTGGTTTCGTTGGTAGTCTTGGCTACATTTCTGACAAGGAGATCCGACTGACCGCAAAAATGGTTACAACAGTCTTCACAAATAGCCTCAGGTTAATTTAGGAGAATTCTTTTTCGATTGTAAGATTCATCAGTGACCGAAACACAATTTATTTCCTTCTCTATGATATGCATTGGTTCCAAAATTCTCTCATACAAAACTTCGCGTAATTGAAAACAAATTTTTTGAAGGTCCGTTCTTTGGCTCGAAATACGGTGTTCCAGCTCATTCCGCCAATAGACTACAACGGTGGGCGGTAACATTATTGGAATATGATTTTGATACTAAGTATCGCTGAACGTAAGACTGTGGACATGCAGACGCACTTTCAAGTCTTATAAATGAGTATCCTACACCCAACGAAGACAGTGACCGAATTAGCATCCACAAACGACTATACAGCTCACCTACTGGATTCTACATTCCGCGCGCATCCTGTCACGTCGGCTCAAGTTCAAAGTGAGTCCGCAGGGACTATGTCATAGAGGAAGTTACACATTATGTCCAGACGAAATAGCCACAGAAATCGTTTACCAGGGACCTGGAACAAATATTCTACAGAAAATAACTCATTTATGTCATTATCAACTGTCTTATTTTTGGAGAACGCGTAGTAGTCCTCCAGTCTCTTCGCGGAAATGTCCTAAAACAGTTTCACACTGGTCACTCAGGAATTAGGCGTATGAAAACCGCCGCCAGAAGCTATGCTTATTGACCCAATATGCATTCTGACATAGCTGAATTCGTCGGTCGCTGCGCGTCATGTCAGAAGGCAGCTAAGAATCTTCTACCTAGGAGATGGCCATCGCTGCACCGACCTTGGGCTAGAATCCATATCGATTTCATTGGTCTGTTTCAGGGTACCTACCATCTGTTTACTGTTGATGCTTATTCCAAGTGGGCGGACGTTGTCGCAGTATTTCCCATATCTTCATGCCGAACAGTTACTGCCCTTGCAAATATTGTCATCTACCATGTATTGCTCAAGACCATTGTTTGAGGTGATGGGTCACAATTCACTTCTTGCGAGTTTGCCGAGTTTCGCTATGTAAATGCAGTCCATTACATACGTACACCATCTTACCATCCACAATCCAGTGGCCAGACAGAAAGATTTGTAGATATATTTAAGCGAGCCCTACTCAAAGCAGAAAGAAGGAAGGGATAAAGATCTCATAAAACAATTTATATTCATCTATCGCTCAGCACCAAATGATGCCTTAGCAGATCTCTGGCGGTTTTAATGGGAAATGAGCTACATACTCCAGCACCACATAATGTTACCATCACGTGGTGAGCAAATAACGCAAACAATGGAACCACACTTCAGTAAGGGAGACCGCGTCTGCGTTCAAGGGAACAGACTAGAACATGACATATGGACTGAAGATGTTGTCATTTGAAAACTCGGGAGTGTGATGTACAATATGAAGGTGGATCAGGAGAAATGGGAAGAACACAAGAATCAGCTGCGTCGCAGAAAGGTCAACAAATCAGAGAATCCGACCGTGCCACTCGATATTCTAATGAATACGTTTAAATTGCCAGCGACGCCGAAAGAACCTGAAACCGATATCAACAAGGAACTTCAACCCAGAAGATTAACGAATCGGAAACGGTTTTAAACAATACGTTTCCAAATGGACTCCAAAAAGCGAACGTATTAGTGTTTTCTTTTTCAAAAAGAGGAGTTGTTGGAAGGCCCCAGTTTTGCACAAAACATTGTTTATCAATCTAAACATCTTTTTTTTAAATTGTCGTTTTCACGCCATTTGTTACGGCATGACTAGTAGTTCGTTTCCTGCCCATTTTCAAGGTAGTTTTCTGATTGGTTAATACTTACTTTTAAGGTGTTCATGTCTCAGCTTGTGGACAACCTCAAATCCCATGTGTATGCATACGGACGTGTGTTTGAGTTCATTGATCATTATGCTCGGAGAAATAAACTATCGCATCCAACCCAATCTTCTTCTTAATTCGTTTCGGGTTGAAATCGGTGGGTCTTGCGTACGAAGTCTGCTTTCGGTTAAGCGTACGTATTATACCCGCTCAGAATGTATGACAAATTCATACTGGTGTTCATGTTCTTATATTCTTTTGTGATGAAAAGAGAAACTTTAGCAAACTAATTAGTTTTTGGCAATATCACATTTAAATACAAATATTGTTCAAATTTATTGCCAAAAGATGTCAGTATTCGTGAATAAATAATTCTCAGTAGGTTGTGGCTGGGAAACTAATAAGTGGGAGTCGGAGTTACATAATAAACACAGAAATATCTTACAACATGAAGGGTGTCAAATGAATGTTTTTTTCCGGAGATCCTGAAAATCACTTATACTGGTCGCTGATTGGTGAACAGGTAGGTTTATGGAAGACAAAAAGCAAGTACCAGTTACTTCAGTGTGTATATATAAATGCGCTTTCTACGACCGAGTTAGGTTCATTGGTCTAACTTAGAGATATTGTCGAACCTCGACACCGACATGTTCCGGCATGACTCAGTGAAAGTCAATGCAGGTTGGTCAGTAGTTGCATACTACATCACTTACGGGACAACAGTTATATAGTCACAGAAAGTTCGTCTGAAGTATTTAACAGAATAGTGTCAAAAAGCGTCTTCCTTGCATGGTTTAAGCTCTGGTAATAAGAAAATTAAGACCAGATTTGTTTCCGGAAGTAACTTTACCATTCACTTCTAATCTTCTAGACTTTCCAACTTTAAAGTCTAACTAACCTATTTTAAATATTCAGTTTGTTATTGAGTAGACAGTTTTAACTCAGTTACTAATTTCTCATTCCTTTCTAGACTGATAAATGTTTACTTACTGACTGTTCACTTCTTGATTTAAGCTTACTCATTCACCTCATCAAATATTTTCATGTTTCTTGAGTAACTTCCATTCCATTAAATTATTATTATTATTACCATTACTTTCTTGGTCACGACCTACTAAGAGTTATTTATTGAA